ATTCCTCGTGGAAGTGAAGAGGTGTTCTCGGCTTCCATCAAAGCGAGTGTCACGTCAACACATTCCTACCCCTTCCTTTCTTGACCTGTGTTCGGGCGCGGCCGGCGCTGGTATTGCCTAGTTTGAGATCACCAGTTTTTACACATTGAGGATGATTGCTAGTCCCAAGCATCGTCTATTGGTTCTTTGTGTAATTACAGCTAGTCTGGCAATAACAGAGTAGCAACCGTGGGCGGTCAATCATGGTCATGCTCGTGCTCTGTCAATTTGACCCCAAGCCACTTGAAAGATTGTTACTTTGTTATTTGTCAAAGGAATTTACTCATTCTTTCGCGACCAGGTCTATAATATTATATGAAATCTGTTCCAAACAGACTTGAAAACATATTTATTTGAAAATTGTTATTGAAATAATTACGTAAACTTTTTTCGAAGGGGCGAATCTCTCCCTGGGGGGAAGGGTCATTGTAAAAATATACTCGTGAAGTGGCACATTTTGATGTTGGAGATATCACGAGATCCCAAGCAAATAGCATGATGCTTCATTCTGCAAAAATATTCAAGAATACAAAGGCTTTAAAACTATGGATAGTGTATGGCAGAGTTTATTCACTAGATGGTGCTACAATGAAAATGTTCAAGTTGTGCCATCTTAGATACACATTATATAACGCTATCTACCGATCTTGCTTGTACGGGAACCATCGTTTTCAGCAAAGTTGTTCAGATAGACAAAAGCTATCTTATGGAACAAAATTTAGTTCAGAATTTACTCACCAGACGGCACTAGTGTGTGTGTTAGTGTGACGTTCATCGCCGTGATCGCCGATCTTTAACATCAAAATATGCCACTTTATGGATATATTTATACAATGACAGCTCTCAATGACATATCCGCCCCCTAAAATAAACTTTTATCATTTATGTAAACTGAAAGTACATTAAATTTACTTGACAAAACATTTGAAATAAAAAGTAAGCGGTTGTATCCAAGACACGACCGTAGATTTGACGTAGGATTACCCGTTTGGTATCAATATTCAGCGACTGTGTTAGTGAAACCACTTTTTCCTATCAAGGAAACGCCTTGTTTTCTGATGACAAAATTACGCATTTTCGTGCACAAAACGCACGGAATTTCTAGTTTATTCAATAGATAATAGAAAAAGCGAAAATTGATTGGAGGAATTGCTTGATAAAATTTTCCATTCGCGAGATAATCGCGATCAATCAAAAAAAATCGAGATTTGTTTGCTCTTTTCTAGCGTCCTGGAGAAAACCCCTCCTCAATTCGAAGTGTTTCTTTTTGGTTAACTTACAAGGTCATTTTTTCGGTTTTATTCGGTCATTGAGATTATTTTCATGTACCACTTCAATACTGTTACGCATTTGACCACAAACGCTGGATACATACATTATCAAAGAGCTTTGGGGGAGATGTGGCGATCGAACGTTCAATGAAAATTAACTCTTAAACAACATTAATTTATGATGGTCCTGAAAAGAACCGTTTTGTCGGTTGGTAATGCTGAGCTATTAGGGTTTTAAACACGGAAATGGCTGGCGAGCTGTATGTTGTTTCGAACGAGGGTGACGCGCTTGGCATAGATGGCCCACAGCAACTGAATCCGATCAGTAGCGGTGCTGCTTGTTTAGCCTTCTTCGGTGAATCGAGGGCTTTTGAGGGCAGCCTTGATAGTTATCAGTTTGCGGGAGCCTTTGGTTGTGTACTGGATAAAAATGTACAACGCCACGCACCGAAAGCAGTGCTGCTGATGCTGCTGCTGCTACTGTAGACGACTGGACACCACTACTTACCACAGCGGTGATTGAATAAACACTGTTCGGCGAGACCGGATGGAATTCGATTTTGAAATCTGTGATAGGGAAAGCGTTTTTTGCAGGCAATCGGTGATAATCTTGATCAATATTTCAACAGTTAGACATTTGTGTAATTTTCAATAGTTAACTATTGAAAATTGATTAAGTGTTCATTTTTGCAAATTCGTAGAAAAAATTAAAATCCATCCGCTTTTGACAGAATTGTAAGTGGTCAAAACCTGACCACTTTTCTTAACGTGGTCAATTTTGGTTTTTTGAAATTGTACCCCCAGTATGTTGCCGAAAGACGTAATCTTACGTAAAGAAAACTATTAAACCTTCGTTGAGATTGACTATTTGAATTTGGGGTAAGTTATTTTTTCACAGACGAAGGGTTAACAACGCATGAAAAGTCAATTTACTGGAAAAGGCCAAAATGTAAAATGTTATCAAACAATTTAATCAAACAAGCTAAAACGGTCAGTAGAAGTCACATTGCTGGACCCCGGGGAAACTGGGGGCTCAAACAGTTTTTGATGGTGTTCAATTTGAGCGTATTCTTGATTAATTAAAATTGTTATATCCTTGTCAACTACCGAGAAACCCCTTAATGTTTTAAGTTTACAAAACTTTAACTAATCAAAATTATGGTTGACTAAAAAAACTTGACAGCCGCCTGGAATACGATCGGTGGCAAAGTATCAGCAAAACTGTGAGAAAATTTAACAGCGCTAATATGTGAACTTCATGTGGAAGTTCCAGCTTTGCTCGATTATAGCGCTTCTGTATGTGATCCTGGCAGAGTTGCCAGTCATGTGGATGTGTTGACTTCCATGTAATTTGTCTTATTGCATTGGTTAGTTGATGTTGTATAAGGGAAATCTATTGATTCATAGAGCCATACTGGAGTTCCTGTTGAATGAGTAATCCATTGATAACATTAAATCCATATTTGTTACAGTCTATCATTGCTCGAATGCTACTTTCAATACTTCCTCAAAATGACAGGGTCAATATTTATCATTGGTCAAATCAACCCACTCCGATTTGGAAGCCGGTGATTGCTGAAAACTGGTGGAAAAATAATTTTAGTGTTACGGAGAAGCTTACGGGCCCGAAAAAAATTACTTATTCGATTATTCTAAAAACATTGGAAAAACCTACCGAATAGGGGAAAAGTTGGCTTCGGCAATACCTTAACCTATTATCTTCAGGGGGTAAACAACGTCCTTGAGAGCTCAATTTTGGCATGTGGATACATTGTGTTTCAGAGCAACTATTGGCCAAATTTGAGTGCTCTAGGACTTTGTTTACCCCCTGACGATAATAGGTTAAGGTATTGCCGAAGCCAACTTTTCCCCTATCTAAAAACATAAGTTTTTTCTCCGATTCTAAAAATTTAAAATTACGTGTAAATATTTTTTTCTATGTGATAATGGCAAAAAGTTAAAAACTGACACAATCGAACTTTCAGTGTTGTCTTGAGTTCAATTTTTTAACAATTAAAAAAACTGATTTTCTTGAAGTTAAGATATTTTTGGAAAAATCAAAAAGTGCCTGAAAAAAAGTAGGTGAAAGCTTATCTTTAAGGAAAAGCTTACCGGCACGAAATAAAAAAAAAGTTTTGATTTTCCTAAAATATTGGCAAAAAGTTGAACTCAAAAAACCACAAAAATTGACCTTTCGATTTTGTGAAGAGTCCAAAACTTTCTCATAATGAGATAGAAACATATGTTTACTTTTAAATTTTCTCAAGAATCTTGGATTAAACTGATTTGCTGGGATCTTCTACTGAATCTTTTTCCAATACTTTTAAAAAAATAATAAAAAACATTTGAGTGAAGAACAAGAAAATACGCTTTTTTCTGCGACAATTTAAATGTAATTTTTTTTTTATCTCATCATGAAAAATTTTGATAATCAGCAATAAAGAAAGGTCCTTATTTTGTGGTTTTTGAGTCCAACTTTTTACCACGATGACATGCAAAAAAATATTTTTGCACGCAAATTTTCTTTAATGAGAAAAACATAATTTATTTTTTGATATTTTTTTCTAATATTTTTTGAAAAATCAAAACTTATTTTTTTCGGACCGTTGAACTTCCCCAGATACTGATAGAAGATTTCGAGAATTGATCGTTTTAAAGATCAAAAGGAACACTTGTTTTCCATGTTCGATTTATTATCAAATTTATGACGATTGTTTATTTAATCGGTATACTGAAACTCGTTATGAATTCATGATATGCCAAATTTTGTAATGAACCACGGTTTGCCTTCATAATAATAAATTATTCCTTTCAATACCAACTTCTGTTTTGACCAAATGTTTCCCTCCTACCACAAATGAAGCCAACGATCCAGCGCAACACAAAATCAAACGAATTTTTTGCAATATGTTATCGCAATTCTCTCTGATCTTGTAACGCATCGTTTATCTTACGAGGTCATTTCTGCTAAGCATTCTCTCCTTCTTAATATATTTCCGCTCAAATTTGCTCGCAGCTGATCAGTTTTAAATAACCGTTCATTTTCAGCTTCGATTATTACGACCTCCACTTCGGGAATGACAGCGTAAAGCGTAATTACTTTCATGAAATTTATGTCATTGCAGCAGCACACAGCACGGAGATGCAGAGGTCGTCTTCCACAAGTAGCAGATCGCGTACAATTAATCATCCCCTTTCTTCTCAGCTAGATTCCCGTGGAGAAACAGTGCAGCACTATTCAAAACCAGACACGGCGGCCCCGGCTTAGTAGTTAATTATGTTAGTTCTAAGAAATTTTCGCTGACTTTCAATCAAGTTGCTGTGGATGGTTCGATGTTTTGCCCCGAGAAAATTTTCTCCGCTTGATTGAAAGTCGTCCTATTGTTCCCCCCGCTCCCCGAATGACTATTCGCCAGCGAGGGGAAGCATCAAACTGCATGATTTTAGTTTAACGAAAGATAAACTTTTTCGGTTTTTGTTTGTCCCTCCATTTCTCTCTACTTCCCTCCAATCCCGATTGTTTTCTCTTAATGTTCCCTGGTTCTTGAATGCATTTAATCGATTTCTTTTTCGTTTTTCTTCAACCACACACATACACACACACACTCTCAACAATCAACACACCAAATTATGAAAACAAAACAAAAAAATCTGTGCAACCCCAAAACCAAAAACAAACTGCAACCGTAGGTCAATAATGCAACCGCACGAGTTCAAAGTAAAAAAGTTCCTGCTGTTTCGAGCGGTAAGTGCCTATTTCTATTGTTTCTTTCATCCTCATTTTGGGAACCATCTCAGTAGCTCACACACTTTCTCTCTCTCTCTCTCACTATCTCGCTCTTTCGCTTCTTTCTCTTTCTGCCTACAATTAGATTAGTTTGCTTTGATGATCTTATCTCTGTCTTTCCTATTGTTTCTTTTATGCTGTATAGTTTTGAGTTATCTGACGAAAAAACAAAAATCAGTCACCGTTATACTAGTTTTCATGATGAATTTTTTTTTTCGGCAACATTTTAGTTTTTGATGAGCACGTTTTCTATTTCTAATCTGCAAAATTGTAACTTTTAGCAAGTTTTATGTCCTTCTTCTTGCTGTCCTCTGTGCGTATCAACTATTATGCTACTGGTTCGCCCTCTACCGTCACATGAACTGAACAATATTCTCATATAAACCAATGTTCTAAGCCATTGTAGATAGGTTTTAAAAACATATTTTTCTACTCTCTTCTTCTTGTTTCTTTTCCTTAAACAAAAATATATCACCAATACCACGATCCAACCAACCACGCAAAAACAAATCTCTTATCGAATTACGTGAATTTGTATGTAAATTTCGAATCCAACCTAACCTGTTGCTATGTCCCAACTCCGTTACAAAAAAAAATGAAACAACATGAAAAATAGTCTTCCTGACGAAGCCAGGCACCGTCACGGCTCCTCCTCTGGGTGAGCAAAACAACAATTCCTAGAACAGTTTCATGACATCCAACAAAAAACCGAAATAATGCTTCTTCTCATCACCTTGCTATACTACTAATACTAGCGTACTACCGTTGTTTGCAACAAAAAAAAATATATATTCATAACCACTCCCAGCTTCTACACAATGTTTCGTTCTTTTTCATCCTAATTTGATTGGTTTTCAAAACAAACAGAAACATTCAATTTTAAACGTGACAACAACAACAACAAAATCTGACAGAAACATACACACCGAACATTTACGCCAACACACATCCACACAATGAATCGCGGTAGTAAGAGCCGAGTAGCAGCGCGCAGACCAACAAAACAAACAAAGTCCAAAAACAAATCTGCATGAACAGAATTTAATTTATTTAAAAATAAGCAAAAATCAAATCAAATGTGCTTGCATTTTTTTTTTCTTCCCGTTTTGTTTCCGTTTACCTCTGCCCGTTTGCAACACTTACGCTCGGCATGAATCGGTATGACCATATCCATAATGCGTGCCTATTCATTTTCCCAACCGGACTGTTGTGGCTATGTCGTGGAATGTGAAATTGTGTGAAACCAATTTGATGGACGGAAAAAATAAATAAATAAATATTGCATCCCAATAACTGGAAATAATTGTAGGTTTATGCTTGCTTGTCCAGTTTGCTCGCTCGCTCGCTCGCTCGCAAAGGATTGCGCCTCTGCTCGCTCAAGGAAGTTATTGGAGCATGGTTGGTTGTGAATTGAAAATTATCTTTGATTCGTGTTGACTTGAGAAGAGTGGTTTAAATGGCAGCCGAAACGTCGGATTTTTTTTCAGTTGGGTTCTAGTTTAGCAGTTTTTAGAGAAAATTTTTGGCACTTGACTGAAACTGTACAATTTTTTAATTAGATTTTTGGAGTTCCTACAGTAAGGTTTAAATATTTATCTGTAAAAGACACTGACAATTCTTGAAATTCTTTAATTTATTGACGGATTAATTTTCAGCGAATACATTTTCGTTATTCTTACATCTAAATAGAATTTACAATTATTTTGAACAACTATAACTGAGGCCTGAAAATTTTGGTTTTGCCTTTTGATGACCTCTGAAACAGATGTTCAAAAAACGGCTGGGTGTCTAGGATTCAAAAATCATTATGTTCACCCGCTTGATGAAATCCGAGTCAATTAAAAATACGACTTTATTCAGGGTCCTCCGGGTATGGGTTTGGATGTCCAAAAAATGACCAATATTGCCCAAAGATACAAGCAGAGTCTTTAAGCCGCATGAGAAAAGCTTGAGCTGGACATCTTTGTTATCCCAAAATCATGAAGTTTGATAAAATCAGAGTGAATTTTATTCCGACCTCATTCAGGGTCCTCCGGAAACAGTTCCAGATTTCCAAAAAAATGCCAATCTTGCCTCAAAACGTAGTAAATTGAGTTGTGCGTCATTAATTTTCAAAATCGTTCCGCATGATCACAGTGAATTATAAATATGACCTCATGCAGGCTCCTCTTGGACTGGTTTGAGGTGTCCAAATATTGCCCCAAAACGCAAGAGGTTCAGCAGGACGGCTTTGATTTACAAAATCATGAAGTTCGATATGCCGCTTGATCTGAGTGAATTAAAAATCTGACAATGAATCCCTCCTTGTGATTCGATAGAATCTCTACTTAGCAGGGCTGGTAGCGAGTCACTTTTTAGTGACTTGGTCACTTTTTTCAAGTCAGTCACTAAAAAGTCTCTTTTTTTAAGGCCAAGTCACTAAAGTCACTTTTTCTTGTAATAAGTCACTATTTTCAACTTTTTTAGCGTGAATTTATTTCAAGATTGATTATTCTTTCCGTTGTGACGTTTAATCATCTTTCTCTATATACAGGATGTCTACTCATTTTTCTGGATAAACTAACCTGAGTCTTCCAATTAAGTAAGTCCAAGATCTAAATATATTCAATGTCTTGAAGTTTCGTATTCTATGTACAAGTTCAAGATATTGAAAAGATTAAAAGTGCCAGAATTAAATAAAAAACAAATGATTTATTTCAAGTTTATAAATCACTTTATGAAAGATTAGAAATCTTCAATGCAGTCCCATTAACTTTTAAAAAACAATTGTAAGAATTTTGGAGAAGTTCTGAGGAATGAAAGGAAATGCTGAGAAGTTCAGTGAAGCTCTAAGAACCTCAAAGCGGTTCTTTTAGCATCCGTGACTTTTATGAAGTTTTTAGAATTCCAGAGAACTTCACAGATGTCAAGCGAACTTGAGAAATTTAGAAAACTTGAGGGGTATTGTGCATTTTTTTAAGAAGTTCTAAGCACCTCTGAAAAGCTAGATCTAGCGATCTTTGGGCAATTTCAGATTATAAGAGCAATTCCCGTAACTATAGTCCAGACTTTTGGAGCAGTTTAAAATCTATAATCGTAAATTTAGATTAATTCAAGATAGTTCCATGATGTGCAAGGACATATTAGAAACCTTAAAGAAGTTTCGAGATACTCAGTGAATTTCCGAAAACTTCAGCAAAGAGAGAACTCCTGGAAATTTTATGAACATCAAGAAAACGTGAGATAAAATATTCTCATAGGGTGTTATATAATTGAGATACATAGAACTTTTAAAAAATGCGAAAATTTATCTAAGTTGATTAGAGAACATCAACGAAGTTCCATTAATAAAAAAAGCGAAAACTTTTAGCAAGCAGCGACATCTTCAAGAAATTCCAGAGAACTAAATTTAGATATTTTTAGATAGTTTAATGATATTCAGCGAAGTACTGAGTACTTCGAGGACGATCAGATAGCTTCAGAATATTAATGTGATTATTCAAGCAAAAGCAAAATTAGAGCAAATTTGCAGCGACTTACAAAGAGTTCCGTGGAATTATAGGGTATTCCAAGAATTTTATGATTGATCCTAAAACGTCAGAAGCGCCAGAAAATTATGAATATATATCAACAAATTTGCTGGATTAATAATGGTTATAATGCTTAAAGAACATTTTCGAAACTTCAAGGCAAGTTAATTAATTTCAGTAAAGTTGCGAGTTCTTAAAAAATACTGATAAATTCACGGCAGTCTAGAGAACTTTAAAAAAATTTAGTAATCGTTTAGGCACCAGGAAAGTCTAGACTATTGAAGAAGTTTTAAATTAGTGTCGATAATTTAAGGGAAGTTTTATGGACTTCAGAAAAATCTTAGGAATTGCAGTGGAAATCTTAGAACTATATTAATTATTTCGTTGGAATTCCGTGAAAATTGCGGGAGCACAAAAGTTACAGAAATTTAGAAAAACTTCGAAATCTTCACAGAAGGACAGTGGTCTTCAGAAACATTGATTCATAGAAATCTATAGAGCTTAAGATGAGATTCGTGAACTTCAGGAAATTTTATGAACATTAGCAAAATGCGGAAGCATTTGAAAGAAGTTTAGTAAGCTCCGAAAATTAGTTTCAGAAAATTAGTGGGGAATTTGAAGCAGTTCCCAGATTTTCAGATAACTTCAGAGACGTTAAAAAGTTATTTGAGGTCTTCGCATAAGTTCAGAAGTTCACTCAAGTTTAAACATTTTCAGGACGATTTAATTAAATTCAGCGCAGTACAACAAGCTTGATGAGAACTAAAAAAAAAATTAGAGAAGTTTTGAGAATTTCAGAAAAGAACAGAGAATCTCAGAGCAGTTCTGTCAACATAAGAGAAGTCACATAAATTTTAAAGACGTTTAGAGAACTAAAGTAAATTATTAAACCTTTAAAGGAGATCCAGGATCGTTAGAAAAATTGATGAAACTTTAGGAAGTCCTATAAAGTTCCGAATTTGAGGAGAAGTATTGTGAGCATCAGGCTAGTTTATCAAACTACAAAAGAACTTCAAGGCAATTTAATTAACTTCAGGAAAAATTTGAGAACTTGTGGTTCTGAAGACCTTAAAATAGTCCATTCCTTATTCAACGGAGATTTCCTCAAAATTTCGATGAAGTTATCGTCAGAATTAAATTTTCTTTTAGTTTTCCTCGGAATTACCTTGAAATTCTCCACAATTAGAAATCCTTCGGAAAGATTCTCCGAGTATTCATTGAATTTATTTCATATTTCCTTTTCAATCTCACTCCTTCCCTTGGAATTCTACTTACATTGAAAGTGTCCTAAAAATTCATTGATATTTCTCCTCAGAAATTCCTTAGATTTATTCTCATAATTTGTTTGGCAAACTCTCCTGAATTTATTTTCCAAATTCCTGTGAAGATGTTCTGGAGTTATTAATACATTTAATTATAATCCTCCTTTTAGTATTTTCAAAAAATGTCCAAGGACTTGTGTTCCAGATTCATTTTTCTCCACAAACTTTATGAAATTATCCTCAGAATGCCCTTGGAATTTTCCGGTGAAGTTCACAGGAGTTGTGCTCCTCAGAAATTCCTAAAAGTTTTCATTAAAATTTACTTTCAACTCAATTCAGACTTTCTTGTAATTCTACTTAAAGCTAAGGCTTCACATGAAATCGAGATTCTTGAAAATTTCTTGAAGTATTATAGTTTTTAGGTCCAGAACTAATTGAATTTATTCGTAACTGAAGATTAATCCACTGTGAATCTTTAAAGTTCAAAGTGTGAATGAAAATTGAGTCTTCCAGGTATTTTAAGGGAACAAAAAAATTCCTGAGAATTCAGGAGATCTTGAAAGTTATCCAAGCCTACAATATTTCGATTTATATGAGTTATTAAATGATTGCATTCTAGAAAAATTGAAATTTACTCATATTCTGCAATTTTATTTTTAATTTATAATTGAGTGTTAATTTATAACAAAAAACATAAAACTTAAGCTTGAAAATATGAAGAAGCCTGGGAATTCCAACTCGTCCAACAACGACGAATGCGCACGTTCTTCCATCGCCATTTTTTTAATTATGAATACGACGAGAAAATTTTCATACCATGAAATCACGAAAAACTTAAGTGAATTTCACTTAACCTTCACCAGCATGACATGTGGACTGGACCAGTG